GATTCATCTTTGTCTCTGTCATTGTAACTTTTTTAATCTGAAGTGATGGTGATGGCAGATTCTTCATAGTCCAAAGATCAGTGGGAAGGAAGTCCCTACTGAGGGAAGCATGCCCTCTGATGACTGTCAAGTTCAACTCTGGATTTACATATTCTTGAGCAGGTGGGGCAGGGGGAGATCTGACCCCTGCAAGAAGTTGCTTGATTGGCTGCCTCCTTTTTGATGCTTGTGTTTCTCCCAGCAGTGTTCACTCTGGAGTCCTCCATTCAACCCTGTCTGATCAGATCAGGCAGGGTATCAGCAGTGGTTTGTGGAATAACAGCAAATTAACGTTTTCATGGTCATCAAGAATGATAGTTGCCATAGAAATGTAGACTGGTGGGATTTTGCTGTGGGAAATCATTCTAGATTGGGCTTGCTGCTGTCTCATGCTCATCTCTTGTTTTGTTTTTAAAGGGCAATTCTGTTGGTGTCTGTGGTGGATTTATGGTTCGGTAAATTTTTCTCCTTTGAGGTCTTGGCAGAACTGCATGCAAGAAAAATTATGTTTTGTTATATGGGGGGATTTTTCCTGATGGGCAGCAGGCATAGTTAATTTACTACTACTTATGTTACTCTGGATATCATTGAAATGTGTTGACTGTTGTGAGTTGTAAATGTACTGATAGACTTTGCAGTTATATCACATAAAATTTGGCAGGAGAATGTTCTTGTGTGGTTGGGTAAGTACATAAATTTCATATAAAGTTCAAAAGCAAAACAACTTTTTCTTAGCGAGGGTCTCTGTGTTTCTGCTACATATATATTAAGAATTTACAAAGACTCTTAACAAGCATTTAATGTCATGATAATAGTGTTTATAGCCTGCAGTTTGTAAAATTTCATTCCTATTAACACAGTGACATGCTTCTGCGTAAAATAATTTCATTTGTTTTCTGAGGCATATTTAGATCACAGGGAGGCCAAGAAAAATGTAAAGGCCAGTTCTCGAAATTGGTTATCCTGAGGTTCATTCCAGTTTAGGTCAAACCTCGGTGCTAAGTGTTTTCTTTCGCTTTGTTCATATTTCACTTGTATACAGCTAGGGAACCAGTTACTGGACTGTCATTTGTGAAGGAACTTACAGAGAAACTAAAGGATTGAATATTGTGTAAACTCGTAGATAAAGGATTTTGGTAACTAAATTTTTGCATCGTAAACCACCAGACAGTGTCGAGCATTTCGCTGATCCAGAGGAATAAGGAATGGATTTTATGGCTGATACAAACAGACACTACCTTTTGTTTATATGAAGGCATTTCTTTTGCTGCAGCTAATATAAACATATGTTGGTGGCCATAAAAGATATGCATAGTCATATGATTACAAATACATTGGACTATATTAAAAACTCTAAGCATCTGCTTTCTTTTCAAAGGTTTTTCAAAATTTCTTCAACAGGCTAGCTGGAGTGTGTAAACATGTGGGTGCACTTTCTTCAAAAGTTAGAAAGGGAGACAACAAATCATGAACACCTCAGGCCTGGGAAGACCTTCAGCTTTAGCTGAAAAACGTTACTCTGCCAGCAGATTGTCAAACATCCAAGTAAAGAAAGCCAAGGTGCACAGAGGCAACTCCCTTGTCCCTTGTTTCCTCGCTTTCAGATATAGTAAATCAGGTCTTATGGAACAACACGTTTATATGCATTGATTCCAGATCAGTTTATAGTAAAAAGCTTTTTGAAGCAGGATTAATAAAAATTGGCAACCTCTATGATGAAAATGGCGAGCTTAAATTGGATAAGGAGCCATGGCGTTCATCTCTCTCACCGGTCGATCGCTTCCTAATTTTTCGTCTCCTCAATGCTTTCCCACAAGAATGGCGTAGAGAATTGAAACTAAATAGGACTTCTATCTACGGAAACACACAATACCAAAATCTAAGTAATTTCTCCCTGTGGGTTGATGGTGAACAGAAGACTTTACAGAAGCTTTATTCAAAATCATTGTACCAGATTTTCGTCTCTAAGATATCTAGTATACCAACGGCAATGAAGAAATACGACAAAGCATTTAATACAGACACTTTTCATCTTGATTGGGATCTGATTTTTTTGACGCGCCTAATCATGACAATGACGGAATCCTTCTTAATTATATTGTACTAGAAGGTAAATATTTTATTTATCGCACAAAGCTAAATAAGACTTCTCTATCCTTTAAATCCTTTTTCGAAAGAATTAAGAGTACGTTTCAAATAGAACGTTTTATAGCCAGAAAGAATAGTAAACTTGAGATCCATTACAACAAATGGAAACCCCTCCTTCAACTGATAGAACAATAGCTGAATTAATTTATTATTTATATCAATACGCGATGCCTCTTTTTTTTTGTCTTTTTTCTTTCTTTTCTTTCTTTTCTTTTATTCTCGTAGTCCAGTGTAGTGGTATTTTCTTTGTGTAATAGAGTAGTGTAATATAAATTTTTGCATGTAGAAATTTGTGATGTATCTTGCGTACTTGTAAAAACTGTAAAAACCCAAAAACAAATAAAATACAAAAAAAAAACTCCATTGTCCCTTTCCAGACCTACACTGTTACTAGGTCTGGATATGACTGTTTTGTCGAGAAATTCTATAATCGATCATTAAGTTAATTTATCCGCTAATGAGATACGTTATAATGATGTCATAACACTAATGTAAGTCATTTTTCAGATGTGGACCAAGCCTACTCACTGGGTAAATATCAAATCATCTCGTATATTTTATTATCTGAGCATTTCATAACAATGTAACTTCCTTTTAGGATTTGAACGCAGTTCTTTTATTGTCTGGCAGTAAAGTCGTCAATAAAGATGTTTGATAACAGTGAACTAAAAACCCACAACTGATGAAACAATCCTTGTGCAATAGAAGACAGACAGCCCATGAAATTAGACCAGGATGATTTGAACACCTAGCAGCTCTAACAAATGGTAGATGTGGTATCCTTCCTCATTCCGACTATCATGGAGCCAGTCAGAACCTGATATAGATGTTCATTCACTGAGTTCCCACTTGCAAAATGCAGTCAATATGATTTTATTTCACTCTCTGTGGATGATAAACTTACAATTGCACAAGCTCATGACTTGAGTAATGTAGCAACTGATGCCGATGTCCATTTGCAAGCTCTTCTGTCCAAAGGTAACCAACTGAGTATTGCCCATTTGAACACACAAAGCATGGTATCAACTTTTGATGAATTTCGGGCAAGAATGGTGGAGTACCCATAGATATCACTACCATGAGTAAAACATGGCTCAAAAATAACCTACACCTAACAAAGTATGTCACCACTCCCGGCTACAACTGTTTATTTCATAACCTCAATGCAATTAGAGGGGGTGGTGTGGGTGTTTATATAAAAGACCACATCAAGTATAAAAGAAGAAGTGATATTGAAAATAAGGAACCCCAAATTGAACATTTGTAGTTAGAGATACCCAGTCACAATAAACACAGCAAATTATTACTTGCCACTATTTATCGATCAGAATGCATTCTTGACTACAAAACATGGATGGAGCAATTTGAAAATCTCCTTGCCCGCATAACTGAATGGGATGGTGCTTTACCAATCATGGGGGATTTCAACATCGATCTCCTTGATCCTCACTCAGCAATAGTTGTCCAGTATAAGAACATGTTAGATTCTCAGAATCTTCACCAGCATGTTAAAGTACCTACCTGCGTCATGTGATAATCAAGTAGGCTGATCAACCATATAATATCCAATGCACCAAACCAGGTAACCTACATCAATGTTCTTCCTTGTCCAACTGTCTGTGATCATGATCTGTATGAATGTTTGTGCGAAGCGTTTTCAACCACACTTCAAGTTCATGAGAAATGAAAAGGAACTTGACTAACAAAAATTGATTGAGGATTTTTTAAAACTACCCTTAGACCTCATCTACACTACATGTAGTCGCTAATTCAACATTCATTTCTAAGCTCCAAACAATTGAGATCAGTTATATGATTTAAATATGTACGAGCTTTAGGGAATCTGCAGTAAGGATAAAATAAAAACTACAACAACAACATGTCCGACTCATTTCTTCTGCATGTTTTTGAGCCTGCTATGCCCTATGGGAGGCACAGGCCTCCCAACACTGGAACAAGAAATTTTTTTTTACAATGTTCAACAAAAGGTAACAACAGTACAAACGACATCAATGAAAATCTGGACTTATTTAATTCAATGTTTACTTCATGCCTTGACAGACATGCTTCTTTGAGGAAAATTAGAGTCACACACCCTCCTGTGCCATGTTAAAATCAGATGATATTTAACAGCTTCAAATGCAGGGGAATGACCTTCGATATCAAGCCAATCAATCTAAATCAGAGGATATTTGGAAAAAGTTTTAGAGGCATACGAAATTTACTCAGAACAAAGATCAGACATCAAAATGTACATTCCATCAAAAGGTACTTTGTCGAAAAAATTAAAGGTGGAGCTTTGGCGCATGGCACATTGTATTCTTAATTCCGACCCTAAGCCTATTGCTGCTGATCCTGACGAGTTGAACTTCCACTTTAAGAACACCATGTAAAGGATACTGGAACCGATCCATCCTCATCAGAATGTTTGAAAAAATATATCACTTTTTTGTCGGATTATGGTAACTACTTCTTCTCACTATGTTCAGTCTCCCTTAAGGAAGTAGAACAGCAGATCAAAAGTATAAGAACTGGCTGTGGCACAGGTCCTAACCTTATTACAGCCAAGTATGCTAAGCTGACCGGAACTAGCGTGACTGTCTAGCGTTACAACCGGATATCACATTTAGTATTCATATGATTGACAAGTGAAATTGTAATAGGAGACAGAAGGGTATTGTGAAAGAAGGAGGTTTTTGAGGACAAACAACGCAAACAACACAAGGATCGTGAGGCCAGTTATTTTGTAATTTTTCGTTTCATTTTCGTTATTAAACCCGGGAATTGTCAGTAAGGAACTTTGGGAAGAAAAGATGAGAGCAGAATTGGAAATGGCGGAAAAGAAAATCAAAATGGAAAAAGCCGCGAAAGCCGCCAGTGCGAAGCTGCCAGAGCTCAAGATAACCCCTTTCAATGGCACTCCAGTTGACTGGATCAGGTTTCAGAACATGTTTACATCACAAATACACGACAAACCATTATCCGATGAAGAGAAATATGGATATCTTTTGGAGCTGGTGGCCCCTAATGTGAGAAGTAGATTAGCTAATTTAAAGCCGGCTGCACTGGGGTACAAAACTGCATGGGACAGGTTGAAGACTGAGTTTGGACAGAGTAAAACTGTTGTCGCTACACACATGGAAGAGATAATTAACTTGCCAGTGACCAGAGGATCAAATTACGAAAGGGTGTGCGAATTTTATGAGAAGTTGAGCAAGAATTTTGACGCATTACAAACTTTGGGGGAGGGAGAGATGCTCAAGGGTTTCGTTCTGTCAACCTTAAACAAGCTCCCCCAAGTGAAATCCGATCTGGTGAGGACAGACGAGGGGTGGGAAGATTGGAACATGGAAAAGTTGATTGATTCTATCCAAAAATGGCTCAAGCGCAACAAGGCCGAAGACAATTATTAGGATTGAACAGATACAAAGAGAAAGAACGCCATTACTTTTAACCAGAAGGACCCCCACTGCCTGTTCTGCAACCAAAACCGCTGGGGAGATTCGTGCCCAACATACAACAAAATCGCAAAACGGAAGGAATTCTTTATAGCAAAACAGCTATGTAACAATTGCGCCCGCTCAGGGCACACTGGGAAAGAATGTTGTAGCAGGGGATGCAATAGGTGAAAGAGCAAACACCACACCAGCTTGTGTGATAAGCCTATGGGGAACAAGACGTAGGATCTCAATGCCACTCTAAGCAGATACACCCCATCCGTTGAGGAAAAGTCCCTACCTGCCATAGTACCACTGAAAATCCGGGGGACAATGTTCTGGGCATATCTAGACACAGGCTCAACTTACAGAAGAATCAAGATGGAGTGCTAGAGTGTTGAGGACGATTGCAAGGCATATATCCGATTTACGTCCCAGACTCTACAGTCTTTGCAGAGAAGTTGGTGCAACTAGCACATCTGGCCACTCTGGGAGTGAGCCTCACCATGGCCAAAGTTAGAGAACAGCATTGGATTCCACGTCTAAGGCGCCTGGTCAAGAAACTCATCAAACAGTGCTATGGTTGTAAGCGCTTCCAGGCTATTGCTGTTGCAGCCCCACCTCCTGGGCTGCTACCACTGGAGAGAATGGAGCACTCGGGCGTCTTTAAAGTGGTTGGTGTTGACTTTACAGGTCCTATTAAGTACAGGAAGTCTCCGCGCATGGAAGGAAAAGCCTACCTGATACTGTTCGCTTGCCGCCTGACAAGAGCCTTACATCTGGAAGTTTGGCCAAACCAGGAAACTGCAACCTTCCTAGGAAGCTTAAAGCGCTTGATTGCTCACCAAGGACGCCCTTCTACTATATTCTCAGACAATGGACAAACCTTTATTGGAGCAGCACACTGGCTTAAAGAAATTCAGACGGACGAACAGCTGCAAGCTTACCTGGCAGAGAAGTGGATCACCTGGAGGTTCAACCTTACTCGTGCACCTTGGTGGGGTGGACAGTTTGAACGGCTTGCGGGAGTCTTCAAACGTGCCTTCTACAAAACTATCGGGGGAGAAATGCTAAGTTGGACAGAGTTGTGTGAAGTGGTGATCGAGGTGGAGACCCAACTTAATCAACGCCCCTTGTCCTATGTTGAAGATGATGTACAGCTCCTGCTACTCACCCCTGCAAGCTTCTTATTTCAGAAATCCAACTGCCTGCTTGAGCAAGAACTGTGGAGAGAGGAGGATGTTGACCTACACAAAAGAGCCAAGTACCTGAAAACCTGCAAAGACACACTGTGGAAGTGATGAAGCTGTGAATATCTTGTTGCCCTCCGAGAACGGCACAACTTGAAACACGAGGGGCATGCCACTCCCTTGTGCGAGGGGGATGTGGTAATTATCAAAGATGATGACCGTAACCGAAACAAGTGGAAGCTTGGCATCATAGAGGACCTGATTGCTGGAAGAGATGGAATTGTGTGAGTCCCCAAGCTGCGAACCGGGAAAGCCACCCTAGGGAGAGCAATCCAACAGCTCTACCCATTAGAGTTGACGTGCGACAGAGCTGCTATAGAGAATTCAGTGCAACTTAACCCAGCATTCAGACCACGACGAGATGCTGCAGTGGCAGCAAACCTGAGGATCCAGGAAATTGCTACTGAAATGGACTAGACAGGATTTCAAGGAACACTGAATTGTGATTAAGAACACTTGATTGACTGTAATTGATTTACGTGAGTTGGTTGTTAGTACCACTTAGGTTTAGTGTTTCTCTCCGTCGGAGACAAACAGGGGGAGTGTGTTGGAGATTGCGTGACTAATACAAACATTTCAAGATAATTATTTCGAGCGAGAACCTTTAAAACATGCGATGATAGGATATTTAGATTACATGTCAATGACAGTCAGA